AGGGGGGGGGGAGCGGAAGAAAGCCGAGATCCGGCTAAATTGAAGGGAGTAGAACGATTGCCCCGTACAATCCGATTGCAAGATCATTGCTGATGAATAGTAACAATTTCAATAGTGAATTTAATAAATGAGAATAGAAGATCATATTTTGTAACAAATTATTTATTTAACTTTGTAAATTAATAACTGTAAACAATAACTGTAAATTATTTAAACAATTTAAACAATTTGTAAAAAGAAATATTTTTCATAAGAACTTATTGTGACATTTTAATGTATAGAAAGTTATGTATTAAATCTATGATTAAAATTTTTAATGTTTGCAATGGTGTTGCAATCGGACTGCATAGAGCAATTGTTCTATTTGATACAGTGCGACTACACCCACTCCTAAAAACTAAGCGCACCTGAGATTCGATAGTACTTGCGATAAAATATCCGATATTTTATATTAAAGTACAATGTTCAAGCTTTCATTTGAGTTCTTTCTGAATTCTTTTGCAGATCGGGTTCGTCTACACATTTTCAAAATTGGTAAAAAACGCGTTTTTGGGGGTTTTAAATCCATTTTTCTCGAAAACCTGACGTTAGGCCATTTTGCTTCGCGGATTTGGATTCAGCCTAGAAAAAACTATAAAAAATTACTCTTCTTTTCCAGACCGCAAAATCATGCAAACCTATGTAATTCTGAAGATTAATTTTACTTTTCTTTAAACATGAAAAATTTGCGCAACGTTCACAGCGCTTGGGCTCTTACTTAGCCCGCTCCTCTCCTAATTTGTGGATATTCAATATCAAAACCTTCCATTACTATTTTAATATGTATTTGATTTACATGTATCAGTAATTATAATATATACATCGTCAAGTTCTAATATTCTTTTTTCACAGGTACAAACTTTCTTGACAATAGGTTTCTCCTTGTGTCTTCTATACATGGAACTTTGATGATATTGAAGTATATCTGTCCCATCAGATTCGCCGTTGGATGATTGGCAGCTTTTAAACATTGATAAAGCGTTTTGTCGCAAATACAATGTGACCTGTGAAATATTTGCTAATGATTGCCTTGAGGAGAGAGAGAGAGAGAGAGAGAGAGAGAGAGAGAGAGAGAGAGAGACAACTGTGAGACCATTAACAGGTAATAGATAATTTTGTACATTGTTAAGAATGATTAAGGAAATAATATAGTAAATTGTGACGCTCAAAGACGCATTGTACTAAAATACTCGTTAAAATAAATCGATTATTAGATTTCCTTTTTTACGAATTATCGATATTAGGTCTTACTTAGTATAAAAGGAGTAATTTGTAAGATTGTATCGAGTCTGCTGAGCTCGGACTTTTATAGGGCAAAGATCATGGGTACGACAGCATCTGAAAAATACAAAATTTACATTAAACTGACTTTAAAATTAACATTTTTCAAAGTTATTGAGTTACCTGTCGATGTGAGGTAGATCGCCCAGATCATGATAATTTTCAGCTATGTCACCCGTACCACACCATTTTGTGCCTATATGTATATATTTATTTAATCTTTGCCAACAAATACTGTGCAGAATACAAAATCGTGTGCGTTTATAAAAATAATATAAAGGATTGACCTGGTAAAATACCAGAGAACAGAGTGATTGAACTAGCGGCTCTGCTCAATGCGTTTGTCGGCAAAGCGGACGTGGCTTTCACTTGGAGTTTGTCCAACAATTCGCACTGTTGCATGAGTCTCGTTATCTCTTGAAAAGACACCACTTGTGGTTGTACAGTCATAGACAAATTTCGTAAAACTTCGGTAGCTTCGGATGGCTCACTGAAAGAGACATAATAACGATGCAAGTCAAGATTATGCAGAATTATAAAAAGAAGAAATAATGACTAGACATATAACTGATTAAAAACCGGTTTTGAAACGATCTGATTATTATAAGCAGCGACTTTTAAGGTAACCACTTACTATACTTCGATAATATTGCAATCGCGTAATTCATTGCTTGGACCGAGATTGATCACGGCCACTGTCTGTTCGTGGTAATAAACGACTCGTATCTCGTCGTTCGCGAGCGCAGAAGGATTCGATACGATGTCACCCAATCCCTTGAATGTGCTTCTGAAGAATGTTGGCTGCCCGGTCAAGCTGCATACTAACACGATGAGAAAGAACGTCAAGTGCATTGAATGCATCTTCTTCTTCAAAGTATCGATCTTGGGTTTTCATCAATTATTGCGTTACGTGGTTTTATACTTGTTTAAAATTTTTATATTGTACATTTTAAAGTTTTCTTCGCGACAAGAAGGAATAATTCCGGTATAAAACTCAATATTTTTTGTTTGAACTTTTCGCGTAAATGCAAAACAAGAGCAATTGCACATTTTGCAATTATTTACGAATCACATAACGATTTTTCGAAGAAGAATCTAAAAAAGAAAAAGTAAAACACTCAGGACCATTTTCTTCACTCGTGCGAAACAATACTTTGAATGCAATCAAACTTACCTCTCGTCCTCTGATATTTTATTTGGCACGTGCAAATTTTTGCGAAAATATTTTTTTTAACAAAAATTCTCTTTTAATATTACATAAAAAATTATCACGATATAAAAAGAGCGAAGTAAACTTTTTTAAATTAATTGATATATACTGTTCGCGCGTTTACGTACGTCGGGAACCGATCACAATAACGAGCTAGTCAATCACAAATAATGTGCCTGACATATAATTATATAATGCACCCATGTCCAACATCAATCGTACGGACGAACCGAACTAGTCGATCGAATGGCTAAACGTATAGGTATGACGAACACCCGCACATATTAGCTTCCCTCTCCTTCGATCGCCAAGTATTACATGGTGGTAGCGTGGTAGCGGCAACAGATGCCGGTGGGGAGACCTACATTCGTGGGGGACTAGGACGAAGAAAGTGGGACGAAACAGCAAAATACGATTCTGTGGTTTGTAACTGCAAATTTATGGAATTCCCCGTAAAAAGAAAAAAAGGAGGAGAAAGCGCGATGTCTCGTCGAATTTTCTCGCAATCGCGCGAGAATCGTAAGCAAAACTTCAAGACAAATTCTTATAATTCATATAAAAATATATATTTTATATATATATATATACTTGTGACAATTGCATTTAGAGAGAAGAAGAATTCGATGGAACGTCTCGCACCACTATTTACCTGCCGAATGTCGTCATGCGAATGTTAACAAGGCCGAATACGTAAACAATAGCGTGTTATATATAAATCTGTAGAAAAAATTTTTTGTACATATAAGTCACAGTATCTTGAGAAGATGATAATAGTCTTAAAAGTCACCCTCTTAAAATCTCTTGTTGGCTTGTTTATAATATAAAATGTATAAATTATTATACACATTGTTTGTAAATTTTTACATGATTCTTAGCGATCGAAATAGCTCCGTGACATTTTTTATATGCAATAATAACACAACGGATTGCCATCGTGTCATCACGTTTTTCGATATTGTTTTATGTCCGCAACACGGATATTAAGCGCTTTCATCGTCATTTCGAGATTATGACAATGATGGTTCATAAACAATGCGAATAAAATTGATAATTTTGTATATAAATAATTTTGCTATCGTTAAACAACGATATTTAACAGTGACCCTGTCTCAGAGAATGGCACGAAGGGTTCGATTTGTTCGCGGCGCTCGTTGGATATTGACCTCCTGTGCGAGTTGTACTCAACGTGATGCTTACGGGAGTCGCATTGGACAATTGCAGTCTAACTGGACACTGCCTATATCCTGTAATAAAAAATTAAAAAGCATTATAGTCGCACCGCGTCTGTATATAATGTGTGGTAGCAGACACAATAGTATTTTCAATATGCATGCACACAGAGTTTATGATAATAGATAATATGAAATAGAAATGTAGAAAGTTGTGTCATTATGTAAACGTAAGGCAATTTGCGAGAAAAAATGATTTGTTTCATAAAAATTTTGTTTCTTGGTTTCTAGAATAAATCTGAATCGAATTTCAGACTTTACGCGTATTTTAAACGTATTGCGTTGAAACCCATAGTTTTTTGTATAATTCTTTTGGCTAAAACATCAATATTAATTTGCATGTACGTTTATGATTAATGAACAAAAAAATGGACGTTATCATGACGTATAAGATAATTTGTAAAAACAAATGATTTGTTTTTGCAAATTAACTTGTAGTAGATTTTAAGCAAGTTTGGCGATTCAGTTTCCGGAATGAATCGTAAATTAAATATTTTATATAATCATCTGATTATCATTAAGACACAAAAAAACATATGTATAGACAAAAAATTAAATTAAGCAATTATTCATGAATTGTTAAATGTATATCAATTAATCACTCGTATATGTAACAATTATTTCAAGTATGTATAAGAAATATATACGTGTGGTAAACGATCAATTATTTACACGGATAGTTAAATAAAATCTACATTAAACGATTTAACGAATAATTTTTTTTTTTTCTTAACTTTTGTATCGCAAAATGTGTATAATGTAGATAGGTGAGAGACGCTACGATTGCTTCGGCAAAGAAACGAAAAAGCTATTTACCGGCATGATGAGGTCCGGAACAGTGGCAGCATATAGGATTATTGCGTGGTCTGGGACAAAATTCGACGCTATGCGGCTCGCCGCAGCGGACGCAACGCGGCAGGTGCCGACAATTGGCGGCCACATGCCAAAAACCCTGGCACCGGTAACATTGCAGTACACCATCCGCCGTTTGCGGTACATTCGACGTCTCCGGAGAATTATTTCCGTAGTCTGTCGGTGCGCATCGCGACGATATACCGGAGGAACATACGGTATTACCGTTGCCACGCCACCAGCGTTCCGGAACGGCATTGAAACGTGCTACCTCGAAAAAGTCCAGACCTTGACGTAATAGGGCTTCGTAATGGCCCGCGTCGAAGACCTATGCAAGAAAGGAGGGATAAATATCTTTCACTTTTTTATTCATTGTTACGTTGTATTTATATATTATATTTATATTAACAATTGTCTGCGACAGACTTATCGATCGCTACCTTTCATCTTAATTTTTTCGTTGCAAATAATGCAAGAGAGTTACCGAGATACAATTGGAAAGTTGACTTTCGAAACTTGTTAAACGTATCTTAGCTATTTCATAGAAATCTATTACAAGAAACGGTATTTTTACAATGACATAATTATGTATTTTACATTTTTATGCAAATTTAATAAGTAATGACGACATAATCTATATATTTGAGCTTGGGTAAGTATTTAATTTTACGCGTTAATTTTCATGGTATAAAATTATTATATTAACATAATAATTAGAGTGTTAAGAACAGAAAGGAATATAAGCGGTCTCTACCTCTACTCGAACAAAGTGCCGCGAACGTTCGACGTTTCCAGCGACAATTCCCTGCTTTGCCAGGGCCGAATTTATATCTTGGAGCGGTATGGCCCATGGGATATCTCTCAGAAGTACGGCTTGACGATATCGAGAATCTCTCGCTGAGAATCGTGCTACCTGATAGAAAAATATATATAAATTTGATCGAAAAACTATTTTCAAACATAAATATAGTATTCAAGAGAATATTTCACTAAAATTCAATAATGAAGGAACAATTGACGGTATAGTCTCAGAATAACATTTGATTATGAAATAGTTTAATAGAGTAGATAATTGTAAACAAAATTTTATGCAAAATAAAATGCCTCTTTGTCCAAAAAGATCATGCAACGTCTTTTAAGTGATTCTGTCTCTCGATATCTGGTAGCATTTGAAAGTAACATAAAAAAATTTTGTACTTGTACAGGTCTTCCGAACACGCGGGCTAAGTCGCCGCGTTGCAATAATTTCTCGGCGTCATTTTCTCTAGCGAAGACAGCTATCAGACCGCATGGAGTTTCAGAGACGCGCCACGTCGACAGTGGTTCGGAAGCGGCGATAGCTTCTTCGAGATGAGATCGTAACAACTCGCAACCTAATCAATTAGATTACGCGAAACACAGTAAATGGATTGTAAGTTTCTATCTTTAGAACAAATTAGATATTGCATATTGCACCTTGGATCGTGTGACCTTGGTCTTGAAGGCCGCCAGCACGCGAAATGTATAAAGAGCAGGTGAATAGTGCTTCCTCCTGAATAGTGGGAACTTCATTATTATGCGACGTCAGGTTTAAGTTTTTTTTATCCGTGTGATTATTGTCTTCAATCCTGTTTTGCACAGAAGAATTTGCGACTTGCTCCATTCTGCCCGCCAGTTCTGTACTCGTGATGGTAACTTGAATTTCTATATACATAGGGAATCAATCTTTATACACACGTATGGTTTCTATTACTTATATATTAAAAATATAATTTTTATTATAAAAATGTATTATAAATCTATCATCACATATATATACACACACACACACACACACACACACACACACACACACACACTATACACTTACTCTATGCTTAATTACTAAAACAAGTGTAATGTAATATACAAATTATAATAGGCCAATTATAGTCAGAACATAGTCGTTATCGTGCAAATATTTATGTCACAAATTTCAATTATTTCGATAACGATCACAAAAGGGAACAAATGTCGAGTCATTTTATATCATTATTGATTGTATAGATAATGAGCGTATAAAAACGTCGACGTAAATAAATTAGTATTCTTACGATCGTTTTCGAAAGAAACATTCGATCATTAGTGATATAAAGAGAAAAATAGAGTTCAAATCAATATCAAATGGTTCTTACCACATATATTTCATCAAAAAATTTTATATCCAAGTTTGTTTATTTTTTAAATATGTAATATTAATGCAGTAATTGAAATTTCAACTGTATCTATTTAAAAAAAAAAAAAAAAATGATGCTCGAAAAGAAACTCTTTTTTCATGATTATGATAGTTGAATATTTTTTTGTGCATTTATATATGATTGTAATATTATGAAATAAGCGATCTCGATGAGAGATACATGTATCGTGGTCGTTCTCATTTAATTGATAACTTTTCGAGTAATGTGCCGCAAATTTCATCTCTCTTGTCTTGAAATCGACATCGATTTACCTGAGATATCTTCTCTCTCGCTTCGTTAACGCGGAAGGATGCAATTCGGGCACCGGGAGGACCAGGAAGGAAAATACGGCCCATGCTGACGACGGACGCCATTCGTATTCTCGCCTCCCTTCACGGTATAATGATCGACAATAATGAAGAGAGAATTTCACGCGTTAATATCGCGTTGTCATCCAGTTACACATCAAAATCATGAGACTTCATAAAAATTATATAATGTATATAATTTCTATTATAATGTTGAAATTATTTTGTGATATATATTTTTAACATCGAAAATTGAATTCGCGTAAAATCGTATTCTGGATATTTTAATCCGAGATTAATTGAAAAAAATTATTGGAAATTATTATTATATTTTATTAATATTCAAATATATAGTACAGAAAAAGATTATATAAACCTTTCCGAAATATTTCAAAAGGTTACAATATTGTAAATATGTATGATATATTGTTGCGATAATTTTATATCATTACAAAAGCGTTTTAAAGATTTTCCCAAATCAGCCGTGCAGAGTGGAGTCGATAATAATATTTTTCAGTTGTTTATCTTATCGACTGTTGATTCTCTCGTAACTCTGAGAATATGGCGCTATTAACGCGTTTATTATCTTAACCTTTATATTTTCATTCTCGTTTATTATTTTAATAAAGAAATAGAAAATAAAAATCAATAAAAGAAAAGCGTGAGATGTTTTTGTTTATTCGGCTTATGAATTTTATAAACAGTACAAAGTTTATATCCAATATCAAAGTTCAATATGCATGTATGAATATATATATCTATTCTTATTGCATTCAGTTATATAAAACTGTAGACCGTTTTAATTAATGCAAGTCTTGTAATAACGTTCTGAGGAAAACGGCGATCCAATACTCTCTTATATAAGAAGAAAAACGTAGCAAATTTTATTCCAATGTACGTGTATGTATATGAACTGTTTTTTTAATATATTATCAGTATTGAAAAAGATTTATAATACCATATCTCACGAGTGTCAATTATGTCAATAATGTTACAATTATATATCGTTTTACTGTTATGTGCATTTGATTTAAGAGAAGAGCATAAAATCGTGAAAAAAACGTGCTGAAAAAACAATCTTATATGATCTTTCTATATTTAACTTTGTAAATTCCACATTCTTTTTCCTCTGTTCCTGGTCACAATAATGTCTTGTCGCAATTTTAGCTGTCTCAAAGTGCTTGAAAAAAATCTACAGAAATTTATATACATTCTTTGACATTTCTGTAGAAAACAATAATGTGCAACAAAAATTAAAAAACAAATTTTAAATATTTTTTATTGATCTTAAGGCCTTTGGGATATTCTATTGTTAAAATATTGATAGGGTTCCATAGGGTACTATAGCTTTTTCTTTAGCTGTTATTTATAATATATTGTCATTTTAGTTTCAAAAGAGGAATTAGCGCAATGTCTCTTGCCAATAATTTGATAAGAGATTTACCTAAGGGACCCTTAGATGTTTATAGAAAGAGGGCAACATTTGATTGGAAATCGTTCAAATTAACTTTAGAGAGTGAAGATGGTATACGATTTCAGGTACTGGAACTGATAAAAAATTGTTTAATATATGCGTTACATCTATTATGTAACTATATCGTAAACGATTAAATGTTTAGCAAAAATTATGGGAACTTATCAGAACACATCCAGCATTTCAAAGGTCTTCAATAGGACTAACGAGCTTGGATGAGCTTCGAAGACGCTGCAATGCCCAATTGGCGGCATTTCACCAGAATGACATAAATGTTATTAACTAAATTAATTATGTATAATTGTAAACTAATTGCATAACTTTAATTATATAATAATTATTTAATTACAATAATGTTATTATATGTCATCTTTATCATAATTTTTTTATATTAATACAAGAATATCTTTAAAAAAGTTTAAAATCTTCCATAAAATTTTTTATCAGAATTTGATGCATAATTTTTGTACAATCTTTTTAGCCACTGTATGACCAAGAACATTTTTTTTATACTTTCCAATATGATGGATCTATACCTATAAAATTAAGCATCATGTACACTATGGTACCAAATACTATATTAGCGTTAGGTACTGAACAACATCATCATCTTGCAGGAGAATTTAGCAATGGAAATGTATGTATAAACAAAATAATAATAATTATTATTATTGTAAAGTATATAATATTCATTAATGTATTTTAATTGCTTAGTATATTGCCTGTTTTGCTTTAACTGAATTTTCACATGGATCTAATGCAAAAGGTATGCGGACCACAGCAACATATGATATAGCGACAAGAAGTTTTGTTCTTCATACACCTGATTTTGAAGCTGCAAAATGTTGGGCAGGTGGTTTAGGTGAGACAAATTACGGCAGACAAGTTTAATAATGAATTAGTAATCAAGACAATAATACTTGATACATTATTTTTTATGTATTCTCGTAGGAAAATCTGCTACCCATGCCCTTATATTTGCACAGCTAATTACACCAGACAGAGTGAAACATGGTCTGCATGTTTTCATCGTACCAATTCGTGATTCAAAAACTCATCTACCTTTACCTGGTGTTACCATTGGTGACATGGGTGAAAAAATAGCGCTTAATGGAATAGACAATGGATTCATAATATTCGACAAGTATTCTATATCACATACTTGTCTGTTGAATCGTACAGCAGATGTTACCAAGGATGGAAAATATGTGCTCGCTATAAAGGATGAACGAAAAAGATATGGTAGGTATTAGCATTAATATAGAAAAAACTATAAGTGTAATAATATCGCTATATTATTTTTTTTTTTTCATGATCGATTTCATTTACATTTTACTTGTGTTGATGTAGGCTCGTCATTAGGCGCTCTATCATCAGGTCGTGTCAGTATTACTGTAATATGTTCGCACTATATGACTCTCGCGCTAACGATAGCTATACGTTATTGTGCAGTTAGGAAACAATTCGGTCCTACAGACAAGGATGATGAGTTACCAGTTATAGAATATCAAGCACAAGTATGTATATCGGATTTTCATGTCAAATTTGGATGTAGAAGATATAAAAATTTCAATTATAATTCATGCAAGACGCGCACGTTTTAGCAATGGCGAATCTTCCCTCATTTAGCCGCAACATATGCAATAAAAATATTTTCGACCATGTTTTATAAAAAGATGGTTGAATTTTCTTTGAATCGTTTTATGAGAGAAGACGGAAACTCGAGCGCTGATCTAGGAATAGAGATACACGCGTTGTCTTCCGCAACAAAACCATTATGTTCATGGATCGCTCGTGATGCGATTCAAGACTGCAGAGAATCTTGCGGTGGTCATGGATACTTGAAGAGTAAATACAAGATTTTGTATAATCTTATATTATTTCAATGACTATGTATATATTATACATATATTTTAATAATACTATAATAATAATACTAGTCATCTTATTATGTTGTTAATAGTGTCGCGTTTGGGTGACATAAGAGCTGAAAATGATGCAAACTGTACATATGAAGGTGAAAATAATATACTTATCCAACAAGCAAGTAATTGGTTGTTAAGTCAATGGACTAATGTGATTAATAGACGACCAGTGCCATCTCCGCTGGGTACCGTGGATTTTCTTGTTGATGCAGAACAAATATTAAATACCAAATTTGATCAAACTACAATTGAGGATACATTGAAACCTAACAGTATGATAAGAAATTAATTCTGTAATATAATAAAATATATATATTGTTAGAAGTGGTTAATCTTGTGAACGATTTATGCTACAATTAACATGTTTCTCTATTTTAGATTTGCTCTTAGCTTTTAAGTGGTTGGTGTGTTATTACTTGAAAAAGACATATCAACATGTAAACGATCTTAAATCAAATGGGATGTCCGATTTTGACATAAAAAACAATTCTCAAACATTTTTAGCACGGACTTTATCTCTTGTATATGGAGAGGTAAGCAAAATATGTGTATGTGTATGTGTATATTTCTTAATTGGAACAGAAGAAGTAGCAAAAGAAGTAGCAAATTACGTCTCAAACAACTTGTATCAAAAATTGTTAAATTGTAAATTATAGACTTAATTACCAAGGAAAATGCATGTGCACTTTATATATAAATTCACTGTATACTAATTTACATCGAGTAGAACAAAAATTAATACAGTTAATTTTCTTCTTTCTTTACAGCATGCTGTAATGATGTATTTTATTAGATGTTTACAAGATCCGAAATGGAAAGCAAATGAACGAGAGGTACTGACAAAATTGTGTTCTCTATTCGGAGCTGTAACTTTGGAAAAGAGATTGGGAGATTTGTATGGCAGTGGTTATGCTTCTTCTAGTAGTAACATAGACAATTTTTTGCGGGAAGGAGTTATAATATTATGTAGGGATTTACTAGACAACGCGGTTGCGCTGGTTGACGTCTTAGCACCGCCGGATTTTATTCTTAATTCCTCTCTAGGAATGTCTGATGGCGAGGTATAATATTACTACTACATTGAATATTTTACATTAAATCACTATTGCATATAATAATTACTTTCTTTTCCATATGCAATAAATTGAAAACTTTTATATAGGTATACAAGCACATGAAAGAGTGGATATTCAAAGATAAAGAAAATTTGGAACGTCCATCGTGGTGGAAAGAGATTCGATCCAAGTTATAGTATAAATACTGCGATTATATATATGAGAAATATTTCATAATTATTCGAATTCTTTTTATTTACGGGTTTTAGATAAAAAATACATTTGAGAGAGAGAGAGAAAATAAAAAAAATTCGGAATAAACGTATGGTATAAATTTACGTCGCGTTATTTACAGAGTTGTGCATATATATGTGTATATATATGCGCAACTGTATAATGTCACACGCGCGCGCGCACATGTATGTATGTGTGTATATAGGAGTAATTTGTTATATATTATGATAATTGATACCTCGATATTAAATTGTTACACAATATATTACTTCAGGTGAGGTAATGGATGCTTTAATATCAATTCTTGTTAAACTATATCTATTAAGCATTTATTATATATATAGGGAATTAAGATATATTTTAATACATATATGAAGCTTTTTTTATTATTGTTATACTGTTATATTTTTACTAAAATTGTTTACCAATATATATATTTTTTAATATACATATTACATTCAAAATATACAATTTGTAATTATTAATCGCTTGTATATCGCCTTGTCACCTTAAATTTTTTAACTAAAAGCAAAATCAAATGCGAAACGATATTTTTATAAATGGTCTGAACCACAGACATGTAGAAGTCTGTGGTCTAAACATAAAAATATTATAAAAATACGAAAAAAAAAAAAAAAAAAAAATTTTTTTACTGCACATTTCAAGTATTTACCACTACTACGTCGCGCATGCGCTAAAAAAAGAATCTGTCGCTATTATTACTGCGTTCCACTTGACGTTCGCAATGCTTGTTGAATCATTTCATCTTTGTTGTTCATCGAAAGTTAAACCAAGACAGTTGATACTTTCAAATGTTGCGAACGGCAAGTAGTGGAACGCATACGTTTTGATGGTTGTCAATGAGAAAAAGAGAAAAAGAAGCTGTTGTTTAAAATGATATTCACAGTCGATGACAAATTACGAAATTTTAATGAGAAATGCAACGATAGTCGAGGTATGAAAGATGTCGATCGTACGAAAGTCAGATACCGTCTATCGAAATATTTTGTCTTTACAGGCTGTTATTTCGCAAATTTCGAGAATTCGAATGAAATATAAGGGACATAACCTATACAAACCTTACTTATGCCTATTCATACAGATATTTTCGATTCGATAGTAACAAAGATCTTTGATCAAAATGTTGGAGGGACTTGTGGCTTGGGTGCTGAACAATTATCTTGGCAAATATGTAGAAAATTTGAACACGGATCAGCTGAGCATTGCCTTGTTATCGGGTGAGGTTATGTTACGCTACGCATTTAAAAATTTTCAAGAACCTATATTGCTTGATCTTTGTCAACTATATTTCCGATTTGTTGTAGCATACAATATATTAAATAAAAATAACTTATATTTCTCGTATAGTATATCATTTTTATAAGAACTGAGTAATTTCATAATTATATTATTTTATTTTTATTTATGTATATTATGCTAATCGATCTGTGTAATGGATTTATTTCCACACATTTAGGGGAAGTTGAATTAGAAAACTTACCCTTGAAACGCGAAGCTCTGCGTCACATTGGATTACCGATGGAAATTAAGGCTGGTTTTATTGGTAAAATTAGATTACAAGTGCCAGTTAGACAAATAAGGACTGCGTCATGGGTGATAGGCATAGAGCAGCTTTATCTAGTAGCAGGACCAATTAATTTGGATGAGGTAAAATATTAACAAGAGATTTTTATTCTATTATTATCATTATTAGAATATTAATAGTATTAATGAAAATTATACACAGACAGAATAAATCTTACATATATATCTTAAGTAACTAGTGTAAGAACAAATTTTCAGTACGACAATGAACTGGAAGAACAAGCAATATTAGAATATAAACTTAGTCGATTAGATGCATTGGAAGCCAGATGGAGAGCTGACATAGAACATAATCTTGGTTATTACGCTTCAAGCTACAGTTCATGGCTGAATTATGGCACATCTCTAGTAACAAATATTATTGAAAATTTACAGTTGAACATCAAAGATGTTCATATTAGGTATGAAGATGATGTAACATTATCGAATGGTAAGCAATTTTTTTATATTTTGTGTATGTAAAAAAGTTTTTAAAGTATATTTTTAATTTCTGAATTATTATAATACACAATAAAATTTTTCAATGAAACTTTTATTGATCTTTTCTTTTTTACATATAGATAATGGTATCGCATTTGGCATTACAATTGGAGCATTAACGACTCAAAGTTGTGATGCTAGCTGGATACCTAGTTCCACGTCTTGGAATCTTACAGATGCATCTTTTAAACTAATGGAACTCGATAGCCTTTCCATTTATTGGAATCATGTAAAAAAAGATCAACTCTTGGGTGGTCTAAATCTGGGTGATTTAGCTGTAAGTATAGATAATGTGAAGAGTTCAGTAATAATGTAATGTATTTATATTTCTAATTTGTATTATATATATTTATATATATAATATTACTTTATTATGACTCTAATTTTTAGATTGCCATGAGCGAATCCAAAAATATGATGAAACGGCATATTTTATCACCTGTAAATGCAAGAGCGCATATTAAAAGAGACCGAACTGAACGTCCATTGAGGTCTAATAATAAGCCACGTATCGTAGTGGATTTACTTTTGGACGAAGTACCATTGTCTTTAACAGACGTGAGTGTTATCGATCGAACGCAATTGTTTGCCGTAAATAGTGACATATTATTGCAATTTAGATTCAATATGAAGAAATGGTCAAATGTATCAAGGAACTCGACCGCATAGATCGTCGTAAGCAGCAGTGGCGTTGCAGACCAATAACCCCCGTTAAAAAGAATTGTAAAGAGTGGTGGAAATATGCTGCTAGGTGTCACCTTGGCAGAGATACACTTAAACCTAAACCATCCTGGGAAAACCTTCTTCTCAGAGCCAGAGAGAACGTTAGTTATGTTCAGGCGTATGCTAAATTATTAGGTATAAATATCGATTCTTTTATCAATTTTCACAGCATGATTCGCTCGAAATGATGGAAAAAATTTATCTTCAAATTTGTATCTTTTTTTGCTATTAGGTACGCCCACCTCAATTTTACCGCCGGAAACTAAAACTTTGAAGGAAAAGGTCGAGAACGAGCGAAATTTTGATGAGCTTCGGGTGTTGAGAGAATTGGCTATGTACAAAGTGAGACCCACAATGTTACAACAGGAATCTAATACAAAAATGCCACAGGGACGTGGCATGCTCGAACAGTGGTTTCCACAGTGGTGGGGTTGGTACTCGAAAACACCTCACAGTAACAACGGAACGCAAAACGGAGGTACGACTAATAGTTCGACTACTTTTGATGGGGAATTGCTGGACGTTTTGGCGGACACTATGAATGACGATACTCTGCTACGTCGTGACACGATATTCGGACAGTTTAATTTCGCTTTAGTGCAGGGTGCGGTATCGTTGTGTACCGCGAGAAATGGCAGTGACGGTACGAAGACTGTGATAGAACTCAAGTTTGAGAGAGTGAATCTGAGTTACGAGTCACGACCTAGATCTGGGTCGCACAAGTTCTCAATCAGTTTGGGCGCATTATATTTACACGATTTTCTCACGGAGAATTCGACGTTTCCCATCTTGGTGCAACCACAAATCATGTCAAGCAGCACTTCCTCACGCGTCCGCAATTTATCCTCGGAAAAAGTGGCGAAACAAACATCACATCATCTTTTCGAATTGGTTTATGAAAAAAAACCGTTGCATGTCAATATGGATCATTTGCTGCACATGTACTCGCAGTCCTTGGACATCGTATACAATCCTACTGTGATATATTGGTTGATAGACTTTATATATAAGCCGCATCGATCGGCATCGTCTAATCAGCAATTGCAGGCGATGAAGCGTCGCACGAGGAGACAGCTGATCAAAAACTGGGAGCAGATCCTGGACGGTGACTTCGTGTACCGTTCGTCGTGGGATCTGCAATTTAAAATCTCTGCACCACAGATCTTGTTAGTGGAGAGCTTCGTCGATTTTAATGCGGCCGTAATAGTGGTCGATTTCGGCAAATTACATTTATCGAACTATGCAGATCTGAATCAGGTAATGCTAAAAACGGAATCGATCAACAGCGATAATGATGATGATGAGGAAGAGAGATATGAAACGCCTTGTTCCACTCCGCCGGGCAGCCAGGAAAACGGTTCTCTGAACGATTTCCAAGCTTTATCTGAGACTGAATTACATAAGAAATTGTACGATCAGTATTCCATCAATCTGGTGGACTTACAGATTTTGGTAGGTAAAGCAAAGGACAATTGGAAGCACGTTCGCACGAGGAGCATGTCGACTCTGCACTTTCTCGAGCGTTTTAACATATCATTGCAAGTCGAGCGACGTGTCTTTACCACTTCGGATCCTAATTTCCCGTCGGTCACAGTATCCGGTAACCTGCCAAGATTGGTAGTGCACGTGAACGAGCAGAAAGTAGGCGCGATACGCTTGATGTATAATTTACTTTCAAGTTTCTCTAATTCAGCTGGTATTCCGCAGACGGAAGTCGTCAACGTAGAACCTGAGAGCCCCAAAAAGGAGGAGAATCTAGATCGTTCGTTGAGTCACGCAGTGATGGTGCAATTTATCATTGATCAAATGGCCTTTGAATTGCAGTCGAGAGGTCGCAGCGTAGCAGAGCTGCAAGTATCCGGTGTTCGGGCAGCTCTCAGCAAAAGAATGGCAGATTTGAGCGTCTCTCTCTCCGTCCACGGACTGCTCCTGGTCGACGCTCTTACTTGAGCAATTTTGCGCGTCAGATCGGTGCAGCTGCTACCGACATGGCGATTGGTTTGGTAAATGCCGACGAGTGGACCATCCCACCGCGTAAACGATTACCCAGCGTTTCGATCGATCTAGATAACACGTATGAGCTTTCTGTTGGACATTGATGATTATACAAGTAACAGCCCGATTGTACAAGTAAACGGTGCCGTGATAACGCCATTGAAAGTATCTCTATCGCGCGGTCAATACGAGCAACTGCTTGACACATTTCATCGATTGTTCTCCATGCCCGTAGTAACTGCTGCGGCCGCGGTCTCGACGGAATACGACGATCCCGACGGAATGTCCGATTATTCAGATAAGCTTGATCTCTGCGTGAAGGTCTCGTTCGAGCTGCCGATCCTCAGTGTCGAGCTGAAGCAGACGCATTCTGAGCAGCCGCTAGTAGAGCTATCGATGCGCGATTTTGTTGTCAAATACGAAAAATTACATCGGAACGAATCTAGCGTGCAAGTCGCGTTACGCTCTTTGCTGATGGAAGATCTTTTGTGCCCGATCGGCTCGCGGCATCGCTACATGATGCAGTCATCGGCGCCCGCGCGCGCAAAATTACTCACGGGCGCTTCGAAATCGTGTCCGGATCTTGCCTTCGCACGACAATACAAAAATGCCTTCGGTCGTGGCAGTTTACCGGATCGTCTAGAGACCGACACTTTATACGGCACGATTCCGGCTCACTGGCGCAGAAAACCGACTATCTCATCAGCCGATACGCCGAACACACCGCCACCTTCGCCGGGCGGGATCGCCAGCGAAGAGAACTTGGTGCTAATGAGTATCACCATGACGCGACCCGAGGGGACTATGATATCGGGAGAAGATCGGTTTGATCGGAAAATGGTAACCGTGGACTTCAATTGTCTGGACTTAGTGATAAGCGTGGAATCGTGGATGGTGGTGTTTGACTTCTTTGGGATTGCAGGCTTGTCTGGGACGGCGAATAACGAAATTGCCGCGCGTCAAACGACGCCGGATAGCGATAGCGTCAGCGCGAGCAAGATAGATGACAATCTACCGGTGAGATCGGAAACGGAGATAGAAGTAAGATCGTTGACGCTAGTGCTAACGCAACAGGAGCGCGAAATAGCCAAAGCCAATGTGTCTAATGCCAATGTGCACATTCTTAAAGCGATGGACGACAAGACCAAGATATCTGGATCGTTGGGTTCGATGTCGTTGCTGGATTTAACGCCGCATGGTCGATTCTATCGCGAGAGATTCCTATCGTCCGGCAGGAAGGCGTTGAATTTTCAGTACTCGAGTTATGCCGACTGCGAGGATCGACCACATGACGCGCGACTTAAACTGGAGATGTCCGCCGTGCATTACGTTCACACGCAGAGATTCGTGGCGGAGTTGCAGGCTTTTTTCGGTCATTTTTCGCAACTGTGGAGCATCATGAAGAATCTGCGGGCTGGCGCCGGTGCCGTCATAGATATGAATAAGCGTGGTACGCGACTATTATTGCAATTGCATGCTGGTGCGCCGGTGATATTGTTACCGGTGAGTTCCAGATCCGATAAACTGATTCTGCTGGATTTAGGAGAGCTCACGGCGCACAATAGATTTGATACGTCGACAATCGTTCCGGAATGCATGCTGGACGTGATGTTGCTGGAGCTAGTCAACATGGACATCTACGCGGCGGAAAGATTCAAGTGCGACGACTCGAACTTGAACGAAGACGCGGACACTTTAACAGTGGGCGGCTTTCTCGTCAAGAAAATGGGCTCCTCGCTGCTCACGGAGAAGTGCCATTTAAAATTGCGCGTCGAGCGAAATCTTGACACTTATATTAGCCGCGACATACCCGATCTCAGCGTGCACGGTATATTGTCAACGATGGATTGTGCCTTGGACCCGGCGCAATACATGTTGATTCGTGGCCTTTTGTCTTATAACATTGGTGAGAACCTAGACGACTTGCGTCTTTTTGTGCAGGACTTGAATCACATAGTGGAATATGCGATTCCGACGGTGGATAATCGCTTGAAGACATGGACCCGATCCTGCATAATCCTCGAGCTGGTGAACGTGAGGGTAAAACTACATCCGAGTCATAATATCGCAGCGTTGGCATGCATCAATTTCATCAAGTCCCGACTGACATTGGACTCGCTGAGCGACGGTTCGCAGGACATTGATCTGGTATCACAGGAGATTCTAATCATGGACACGCGTTTCCAAAATGAACCGATTGATCGGCAGTGTAATGTATTCACGCGAATCCTGCAACCGTTGAGGAACTCGGCCGACACCAACATAGCGGAAGACCGTGTTCAAGCCGAAGTACATCACCGGAAGCGCAAAACTTATTCGGCGACTACCATTTTACTGCACAGCATGCGACTGACCGCCATTTTGGACTGGTGGCAGGCCGTACGAGACTTTCTACTGCTGAACTCGCCAGAACCGGAACCTTTATCCGGTACCGCTCAGATGTCAAACGTCAATCAAGAGGCCGAAATCGATACCGCAACCATGACTATACCGTTCGAATTGAAGGTCAACATTACTGATTCCGAACTGGTTATCGTCGAGGACACCGCGATTCTCGACACCAATGTCGTGATTCTCAAAACTACTGCTGTTCTGTCGTACCGCTCGATGTCGCAGGAGGGCAAGAAACCACTGTCTTGCAATCTCTCGCACTGTGAATTATTCTCCTGCATTTTGGGTCTGGAAAACGAGACTGCCTTGTCGATTATAGATCCGGTTGGAGCAAGTCTAGATCTAACTCAAGACAAGAGCTTAGAGATTCAACTGCAACCATTGTGCGTTCGATTGAGCTATCACGACGTGACCATGTTTTCTAGAATGTTGAACTCGCTTCCCAAGCAGACCTTATGGGCGAAACAGAGATCGAGCGAAGTGGCGGTAGAGGGTACTCAAATGTTAATGGATAGTCAGGTATTGAAACTGGTTAACTTAGGTTTTGCGGAAGCCGACTGTAAAATCGCATTGGACCGCTGCGATGGCCAGCTGGACGACGCTGCTCTGTGGCTCACGCAAAATGCAGAGCCGACAAGTTCCGATGCTGCAGCTGCAGCGGCAAGTAACGATTCGATCTTTCGTTCTATGGAATTGGAAGCGTCTTGCATTCGAATCTGTATCATTGACGACTGCCGTGATGCGGACGTACCACTACTGGAGATCACACTGGCGGATTTTAGCATGCGGAAGATAAGACAGCAGCCTGGTTTTCTATCTGCCATCTTTAGCGTGGATTATTATAATCGAGTGTTGAGTGGCTGGGAACCGTTTGTCGAACCTTGGCAAGCAAATATTCAATGGGAACAAGCACTCACCGGCTCGCTCGAGCCAAAGAGACTGTATGTATCCATCAACTCCCAGGATTCTGTGAATATTAACGTTACCCTAACATTAGTGGAGCTCGTGCAACTAGTTAAACACAACTGGACGCAGGATTATTACCTGTCCCATGATAGCACGATTATCGGCAAACCAGTAATGAGAGGACAAGTGTATCGACGCCGATCGCCCTTCGTACCTTTTGCCCTGAAGAACGATACCGGTTGTAGACTCTGGTTTAAAACATTTATTGCCATTGCGGATGATACGATAGACATCGACAAAAAGGCATCTCAAGCGAGAAAGGACGTCTCGAGCAAGGACGATACGTGGATAGAGGTAACTCCTGGAGGTACAATATCGTTTACATTCGAAGGGAGAGGCAAGTTGAGGCATCACGCAACGCATATTATCAGAAGACACCAGATTGCGGTTTTGATCGAAGGATGGAAAGCCGTGGATCCTGTGACTGTCGATCGCGTAGGCATTTACTTTAGACACGCAAACGCTGACGTTGCCGGGTCTCAGGTAAAACAATTTTTCCATTTTATATTTTGTGCTCGTGTTTTAACGAGCAGCATTGTTCATATTCACCGTTTCTATCTCTTCATATAATGCCGTCTCTGCGCTCTATACTATATATATATTTTTATTATAGATTTTTCATAATAACAGAAATAGGCTCGGAGTAATAACGATACTAACAATAAGTGAGGAAATTGGCAAATAAGAACCGAAGCACGGTAACTATAGAGCGTAAACTTTTTTATTATATTTAATTTTATTAATAAATATGCATTAAATATGTACGTTTTGAACCGTTTTTTGGTCCATCTTTAGCATAGCATATAAAAATTAAATTCGTGTTTAGAAATAAACATGCGTTTCGGCTCTTATTTGCCAATTTCCTCATTTAGTATAGATTTTTTATTATTTCATATCTTTTCACTACATTTCATATAGTAAACTCATTTCATATTGTATTACATTTAGGGTTGGCAAAATTTCACATTTTTGGGGTAAAATCCATGCCAGTAGTAAAAACCAGTATTTTCCGGAAAAATGTCTTTTCTATTACAAATGATAAAATAAATAGAAGATCTGTTTATCTCTATATTCATCACTTGAGAGAGTATTGTCTAATTTAAGCTTTATTCAAAATAAAATCTGTAATATATTAAAAATTGATGTAGTAAATATATTAATTTTTTATTAGAAGATGTTGAATGGCTAACGTAAACTAGATCTATATTGGTAACAATTTTTAATTCTGTTAATACATTTTTCTTATTAAACTAAAATAAACTAAAAACTTAATTTAGTAAAGTCTTAAAATTGAGTAACATTTATATCTCTCTAAAAAGTTTTTATTTTAAAAATTTCATATATTAATTTGAACTAAAAAAAAAAAATTATATTAATTTTATTTTTTTAAATTAATTATTAGTATGATTTATTAATTAAAACAAAAATATCTTTTTGTATAAAGTTATATAAATATATTTTAATGTTACATAATTTGCCACGGTTTTTTCCACACACTGAATTTTTCCAGCCAACCTTGATTACATTTCATATAGTATCACTTCGTGCTCTGTTTTTTAGTTGTTCTTAGAAAAAATTTGTCTTAAAATGTAATAAATATTGCAGTAATAATAATAATAATAAAAATAACGTTCAGTTTCAGACAATCATACCGAAAGCTAGAGTCGTATTCGCCGTAGAATTGGAAGGATCCGCTAGGAAATTAGTCACTATTAGGTCAGCCCTCCAGGTGTCCAACAAGTTAGCTCACCCCATTGAGATCAAGATGGAAAAATCTTTGAATCAATTAAGACGTTGGTTTTTTTCTTTGTCGCGATTCCTTTTTCGATGGCGATTATTAAATCCAAAATCGAATTATATCATACTCTTCTAGATTTACCGCTGACCTCAGCTAACACTGGGAGAATCCTACAAATACCGGCGCAATCGGTGATGTCTGTACCTTTGACGCACACTGGGGTGCAAATGTGTTTCAAACCGCTCATCTCGAACTATTTGTTCCAATATTGCGTGGAATCTGTAGACTGGACGATAGTTAAGAAACCGTTGGAAGTGACGGAAAGCTACATCACTTGTCGAACCAATCAACATAATATATTCAGGTATGGAACGATTGTTTAGAAGTTCAGTTTTCGATAAAGGCTGACGATTAAAACTTAACGTTTGTTAACTTTTTCCGCAGAATGTGCGTAGCAGTAAGACGAAACAATTATCCGCTCGACGGTGTGCAAGTGCTGCCGGCGCACACAATCACGGTAATGGCTCCAGTAACGCTGACGAATTTATTACCATACGAACTGATGTATGAAGCAAGTATAGAAGGCGGCAGAGTTGCGCCGGGCTGCAGCGCCGACCTGCATTGCGCCAATCTAATTGAGCAACTGGAAATTACGATTCAATTAGACGGTTATCCAGGATCTGGAGTAGTATGTATATGATGAGTAGTATTCATAATATATGACTTTCCTACATTGAAATTTATAAATCAATAGCTTTGTTTAACTTTTGTATTCTTATGTTCTCAATAATTTGAAGCACATTACACATTTCAGATAATATTACCATCGAACAGCTGTTCCTTCACCGCTCGTCTCAAGCTGCTGGATTCTGCCAGCAGGATGCTGTGCTTACAGGCAGCCGTGATCGTGGAGAAGGGTTCAGCTGTGCAAATCAATATCACTGCGCCTTACTGGATCGTAAACAAAACTGGCTTACCATTAGTGTTTAGACAAGAGGGAGTCGGTATAGAAGCAGCGGGACAATTTGAGGAGCATGAGAGAGCGAGGATGGTGGCACCATTACTGTTCTCGTTCAGCGACGAGGAGGCCAGTAGGACATTGTCGGTGAGAATCGGCACCGAGGTGCATCCTTATGGAATACCGCAATGGTCTCAACACTTTCATCTACAGCCTGGCATTCATGTTAGTATATTTCAAATAAGATGCTTGTTTTGATCTTTATTATTTTATAAGAGCGATGAGTATATATTATACATCATATAAATTTATGAAAATTGTTATTAGGCAAAAAATGTCTATTCTTATGTGCGTATATCTTACGTTCCCTAGGTTCATCGTTTGAGAATTAGCCTGCGCGACGGTAGGCCCGACATAGTCTATTTGATCAGTGTAGCCACTCGCGCAGCAAGAGGAAGATATAGAGCTACTACAGTAGTCACATTATCGCCGAGATATCAATTGCACAATAAATCATCTTATACGTTGGAGTTGGCCCAGAAATGTTTTACGACAACAGTCGTAAGTTTGATGCAGTCAACTAATATCGAAAAAAATGACTTGGTTTTTCAACGTCATATCGGTTTTAGTCCCATCCGGATGCTCAGGCGACGTATATAACAACCATGCCCGAGTGTCACATGCCTTTCCACTGGCCACGACTGGACAAAGATTTGTTGCTCTGCGTCAGAATCACTAATGTGCCGGATTGCATGTGGTCAGGCGGTATTAGATTGGACGACAATTACTCATTGACTGTTAACGTCAGGGACATGATGGGGAAAATGCATTTTCTACGGGTAGATGTGGTGCTGCAAGAGACTACCTACTTCATTGTATTCACCGATGCCGATACTATGCCGCCGCCTATAAGAGTAGATAATTTCTCGGAAGTTCCATTGATCGTTAATCAGGTACATTTATACTATCATAATACTGTATCCGAATATTGCTTTTAAATTTTGACATAATATTTGTATTTTTTTATTGTTTTGAATTGAATTTTATGTTTGTTATTGCGTTTGTTTGTTGAATTCTATAGCAATCGTAATTATGTCGTAATTTGATCATGTTATCAATTAGTCATAAATTTGTAAATGTATAGATTGGAGTTCCCGATAATTTGCAATGGACTGTGAGATCTCACTCCTCGGTACCATATGCTTTGGATGAACCAATACAAACTGCCGATTTAGTGTTAACAGCACCTGGAGGAGTGACAGCCTCTTACGATTTAAATATATTCGGAGAGGGCAGAGGACTGACTTACGAAAACTTTATTTACATTGCGTTTTCGGGTAATATCTGTCAAATAGATATAAAACGAGAAAAATAGATTTTGTTTATGTGTACACATATATGTAATAAATATCGACTTTGTGTGATTTTATTCCGGCAGGCACCTTCAAGACCGATTCTGATCTTGGATCAAGCGAAAGCGACCTGGACCCGCTGGATGTGGAAACTCAGAGATTAGTCTTGGAAGCTGGCTCTGGTGGTTGGGTCGCCTTACGGAGAAAACAATATGGCGATAGGTCACAACTTTGGAGAATGACTGGTGACGGACAACTGCAGCACGAAGGTAACAGAACACATCGCGCGCGTGGTGTAGTATCCACAAATTCATTTCAATAATAAATAATTATCAATTTTTACGCTGTTTTTTGTATATAGTTTATGTAAAGAAAATATGATAATGATACTTATTGCGTATCTCGTTGGCGCAATTTTAACGGCACAGGTTCTAGTCCACCGAGAGACAAACATTCCAAAACTCCGGACACGATATTTGTTTTGGACATAGCGGGCACCGCGCCGCAACCGTTTACTTATTGCGCTCTCGCCCTGAAGAAACCGGATCCTAGACGAAGATCGACGCAGACTTGGCGATTCACCGATGATGGACGACTGTGCTGCGCGCATAAAAATATGTGCGTTCAGTCGAAAGACGGCTTTATGGGATTATACGAAGGTTGGGACGTTGCTTCTATTTGCACATATTCTGATTCAATGCTTGATGATTAAAATCGATCAAATTATCCACGAACGCTATAAATTTCTTTTAATTTCACACGCTTTGTCCTTAAATATTTTTTCTATTATTTTGTGTTGCTTTACATTGATTCGACATATTATTTATTTGCGTGCTGATAGTCATTCTTGTGTATGTTATAAATCTAATGCTTTTCTATCGGTAAATGCAAAACATAAAAGCTAGTAAGATAAGTGTACGGTATCGTTGGAATTGGCAAAATATGATTTTCTGTTTTTCATTGAATGAATTGATGGCAGGTGCGCGATATTTGTCTTATAATGTTGCATCTATTCTATGATTTTAATTGTTTGGCAATCATCTATATATATATAATTTTAATCTAAAGATTCTTCTACTTTTTTCACTATTCCTTTCTTGCTACATTCAATTAGAAAAATCTAAATTGATCATGAATGTTGCAGGCGGCAGTGTCGCCCGTTGGCAAATGTGTACGTATAGTCTCAGAGTACACATTAAAATCGCTGATTTCCTATAACAGCGCTTTTACTTATAAGTATATATTACGTGCTATAATATTTCTGCTTCATCTGCTCTTTTTTTTTCTTTTTTTGTGCTTATAAGCCATTTCCGCATTTCATATTTTCCTCGGGAGCACCAAAGCGTAATATAATTTTTTTTTTTTTTTTTTTTTTTTTTTTTAAATAAAATTTTTTTTTTTAAAACCGAGAATCCACCGTTGCCTTTTATCCCTGTATCTCACTTTCGCTCATTCTATTTTTTACTCTTTCTCTTTTTGTAATATATGGATAGTTTATATATATATGTATATATGTGTAGAACAAAGTACGCCCCTTGTCTCTGATGTACCAACTATTGATCAACACCTCCGTTTTCTGTACTTATAGATGGTACGTAACATGTACCCTCGCGCTCGTAGGATGTTCGCCAGCGAGTTCCTAGAATGCACTTGAAAGACGAGGTATTAAGATATAGCAATCATCTAACATCATTCTCTATTTAATTCTTTTTTTTTCTGTCTTCTGTCTCTAGTCTTCGTTTCTTTTTTCTCTATATATATATATATATATATATATTTTTTTTTCTTTCTGCCTTCACTATCGTCTTTTTTTTTTTTTTTTTTTAAATGAAACTTTTTTTTGTAAAACCATCTTGTTACAAAGTGAGTCAATTGTGGCGTTATCGTACTCTGGTATATAGTATAGCTTTTGTATTCGCAAAATCTTTTTAAATCGTATACAATTCTATTGTATAGCTATTTTTCGCGCAGTTAAAAAGAAGTCTTAATATTTGTAGGGAGCGAAGCGGTATTGGGTCCTCAGGTGCACGGTAACCCGCCACCAATCGAACAACGAGTGGGTAGACAAAAGTTACGCCCGGGTTCTGGATTTTTATCGATCAGAGTGACCACTGATGGTCCGACCCGCGTTTTGCAAGTCCTGGACATTAAGGAAAGAGTATATATCAGTCTTAGTTCACTATTTGCTTTTATTCCGTCATATTTGCTCATGTTTATATATTGTATATATTATTGATGAAATTTAAAAAAATGCAGCATAAATATCCAATTATGGATCTTTTTGTACCTTAGAAAAAAACATTTGCCCTACTCGAAGAACGCGATTGGTCACACATCGCTGTGAGTCACCGGCCTACCCGGATCGACGCCGATATAAAAAAAATGGATTCCGGAGAATTAGATCTCAAGCTGAATTTACCGGCTGGCCTCGGATTGTCCATCGTATCGCAACGGCCGCTGGAAGAGCTGTTGTTTGCGCGGTTAGCTGGAATATCTTTGGATATGTTGCAAACCCCGTTAAATACCACGTTGGACCTGAGCGTCGCCGACGTGCAAATCGACAATCAACTATTCGAAGCGCAATGCACATCGGTTTTGTTCGTGACACGTTCATCTCGTACGGAAGATGAGTATCGACCCGCCCTCCACTTGGCTGTAGAGAAGCTACAATCGAAGAATCAAAACGCCGAGATATATAAACACGTTATAGTGAGTGTTAAAGCTTTGTGCGTACATCTGGAAGAGAAATTTATCCTAAAATTGGCAGCGTTCCTCGGAATTGGCAAATCGGAACTGGAAATGCCAGTCGACGAGAATGATTTCAAAGCGCAGAGATTTATCTCCGAGGTGTCCGCCGCGCATGCTAAAAGATATTATTTTGGTGCTTTGAAACTCGTTCCTAATCAAGTATGTGGATATCAGAATATAATATTATAAATAACAATCCGCAATATTTATTCACATGATAATATATGTATAAACTCTTTTCTGCCTTTTTTTTCTCTAGGTAAAACTCAGTGTGCTCACCACGACAAAATTGCCGCATCATCTGCAAGCTGTAAAACGGAAATTAGGCTTGACTCTGATCAACTTCGAGAACGCTACTATCGAGTTGGAACCATTCGTGAAAAAGCATCCTTTCGAAAGTAGTCAGTTCTTGATGCATTCCATCGTGAAACATTACAAAGATGTATGAATATAATCCTTTTTTTTACGTTTCTTTTGTTCATTTATTTATCTAATAATTTTTTTCAGGAATTGAAATGGCAAGCCGCAGTTATTTTGGGTTCCGTAGACTTCTTAGGGAATCCTCTTGGATTCATGAACGATGTGACGGAAGGCGTTTCCGGTCTTATCTACGAAGGCAGCGTGAAGAGCCTAGTGAAAAATGTCACGCATGGTATTTCGAATTCGGCAGCGAAAGTGACGGAATCTTTGTCTGATGGTTTAGGGAGAGTGATCATGGATGAGAGACACGAAGAGGCCAGGCAGAGAATCCGGGCAAATACTACAGGTAGCAGCGATCACTTAGTTGCGGGTCTGAAGGGTTTCGGTTTTGGTCTATTGGGCGGTGTCACTAGTATATTTAAACAGACCTATGACGGAGCAACTAATGAGGGTTTTCCGGTATGTAACCGATTGAATAGAATAATAATCTTATCTTTTAAAAGAAACAGTGTAGATACTTTTATTTTTAAATTCAGTTAAATAAAAATACGTTATAAGTATATAATTTATAGAGAGAGCTTTTAAAGATGTAAAATTTTCTAGGGCTTCTTTGCGGGTTTTGGAAGAGGAGTAGTTGGTACGATAACAAAACCGGTCGTCGGGGTTTTAGATCTGGCAACGGAAACAGCTAGTGCTGTACGAGAGACAAGTAGAAGGTAATATAAAATATATCTCATGTAATTATATTTATAATGACTGCGCTTTCTGCGAATTATGCACTTGACACAGTCTTTTCTCCTTTACATAGCGCTCATCGCGCGATACCGAAGCGCGATCGACCGCCACGTGTCGTTAGTGGTTCTACTGGATTGCTACCGCCATATAATCGCCAGCAAGCTGAAGGACAAGAGTTCCTTTATAGCATTAATAATCGCGACTATTCTGAACTTTTTGTGGCTTACGAGTGTCTATGTAGTGGTACGGAGAATCTTAGAGTGCTCGTATCTAACGAGAGAGTACGTGTTATCTCGGGCGGCACGAAAGCCGTAGTGACCCAAGTTAATCTGGCGGATCTTCTGCGTTGTCAACCGATGCAAAAGACGCAAAGCAACAATGTAATCCTGTATTACATAGAGCTGATATCCAGATTCGATTCATCAGCCGCGGTCAATTTGGACGGAGTAGCCGAATTATTGAGGCGACCGAAAGTGCGCTGCGACAACGAAGAAGTGGCGAAACGCGTGAGTATATAATAAAAATCATTAATATAGTTATTTTTCGTCACATCAAGCTTTACCGATTCATTGCTATAATTAATTCGTTTTCGTCACGGTATCGTAGGTATCGCAACAAATCAATTATGCCAAAGGGATGCACGAGGAACGAAGTCTGACGTTATCATCGTCGGATAATATGTTGGATGACGTACAATACTATAAGTAATCTGCTCGCGCAGATCGATTGGATTTCGTTCTTATCTCTGACATGATTTTTTGACATACTAGTCGAATTTTCAACTTTCCCTCGTAGAATACATGATCGGTATGGATGCCTTAGTTATGACGCTTAACATTAAGTTTAAAAAGACTGATGCAAAGTACCATAATAATTAAATAACTACTATTTGCCGGCACACGAGGTACGAGTCGTTTATAATTTAAGCGTAATTAAATGATGGTTTCGCGTCTTACAGTTGTAGCACAGGTAACGCAGCAATTTTTGATACGTATTAATAAGATGTAAAAACAAAATAGATAGAACACTGAAAAATTTTCTAATAATGTACATACGCACGCGTGTATATTCTTTAATATTGCATATACATGATTCTGCATGATGCATGTTCAGTGTGTCCTAAGGTCATTCCTTTTCAATGAAAATGTATAATGATAAATTTTATAATCTCTGCAATAAAATGCTAACATTTTTTTTATTATGCTTTTTTATTGTTTTTAACTCAAAGTCTCGACTTTATAATAGATTCGAGAGTTTCCTTCGCAATCGGCTTGGTTTCTATAATAGGGACATGTTAATTTTGAGGCACACTGTACATGTATTTATATGTACATATGTATTAAAACTAGCGGATTATAGATTACTTATTTACGAAACGAAAGAGATAGATTTAATGCTATTAAATATTAGGAACAATTAAACCAAAATTTTTAATAATGTATATATCTAGCAAGTATAAAAATATCATAAAATATATATATTTATTTTTTATGCATGTTTCTTTAATAGCACACATGTCTCTGTTGCTTTAACCTTTGTTTATATTTTCAGTTTTATATCTTAGGCTGTGTTTCAATATTCACTGCCAGTACTGAAAATCTTTAGTGTATATGACACAAATTATGAACTAAACTATATTTTCAGTACTGGTAGTGAATATCAGAATGCAGCCTTAACGTGTTACTTTGTACAGAAACAATGTAGATTTCCTCTTAAGGCCTTCTTAGAGGATTTATAAGTTGCAATAAAATTCAAGACAGAGTTCTATTTATAATTTTATGCATCACATGTTTTAATATATGTGTATGTATTTTGATATATATCTTGATTTGTATGTATTTAATATGTTCAAAAATATTTTTTGTATTATATGATACATAAAATTTATAAATAAAATTTTGTCTTGTGAATTTTAGCGAATTATAGGTCATTTAAAGAGGCCTTTATATGTATGAACATAGCAGATGATAAAAATGTGCAAAAGAATTAAATTAACTCATATTTAAGTACTTTTGTAAAGCTGATGTACACGCATACAAAACAAGAATATTTGTAATATATTGTGTTGATACCACTGTTGAGCAGATTAATAAATGTTACATCTATATATAACAATGATATGAAAAAAAAAACTTTCTTATATCCCAATAGCAAAAATCGCAAAAATTGAAGACAATAGCGATGTTTTAAATACATTCTTCTTCAACTTGGCATAAAGAAAAATATATGTAGGAAACACTTTAAACGTAACAATGTAAATGTGTTTACTTTAAATTTATATCTAACGAATAAAATTGTAGAATCACTCACTGTTAGATCCCTGAACACTCAAACTGTCAAAATCTCTGCAATGACAGCTATTCGATATATTGTAAATGTAAACTCGAAAAGAGAGAACATAAAAAACATTTTTCGTAACTAACTTTCTTTCTCTCTACCCTATCAAGATAACTCCATTAATGATCCATTATAATCAAGATAATGCCATTATGAACAAAAGCATTGTAATCCTAGTGTTAAACTTTAACGGTTCCGGCATAAATTAACAGTTACGGCCTGCATAAACCAGCCTTTACTCTTCCTTCATGGTATCGATACATGTTCAAAAACATGCGCCATATTGCACATGTATGAATGTGTTCGAAAATTCTATCGGTGCGATAGAGTATCTTTTAATTGACCAATCAGGACATAAGAAATTTTAATGGAACAGCTGTGATTGGACAGCATAATATTTAGTACGGATTAAAATATATCGGTGTAAACTAGGCCATTACTCTACCCCATGAATAGAATTTTCGAACACGTCCCACAATGCAGTAATATGGCGTCTCGCATGATTGAACGAGACGTCATTTTCAAGCGATTCGATCGAGTGCATTTGTCTCAAGTTTCAGTGTTTATTATTATTGCGCGTTCATGTCACCGTGATTCCTCGATCGTTTCTGATGTTACATCTTTAATTGACAAATAACTTAAAGAGAGATATGGAAGAGACGTGTTTGGACGACGGACCTGCAGTAAATTTCGAAAGGGCCACTCTAGAAATCGCTAATGCCGATTGTAAGTTTTTTGGGGTAATTTAACGAGTTTTTAATAAAATATTTTTTCATTCTTTCTCAAATTTTATAAGAGTGAATAGACGAATAGAAACTTTGGTCATTCTTTCTTCAATTTTAGCTGTCAAATCTGCGACAGAAAGCGCGGATGACACATCAAAGCGAAATTCCGCTTCGAGAAATGTGTGTAATGTGCCGTTTAAGCATATAGACGTTCATACATTCTTCACCGATAGAAATGAAGTTGTGGAAAGAGCGATAAATGACTGCACTGAAAATCTGATACAGGAAAACAATGACGAGCTTGTAGGAAGCTGGCTTTTGACAGAGTATGTACTGTTGTTATCAGTTATTGAGCTCTGTTACACGGCACCCTTAATCGGGTTTAATAACATCGGACGTTAGTGTAACAGAGCTCATTGATTTTTCTTTGTTATTGCAATTTTGCGATTTATAGGAGAATTTATTTATTTGTAGAATAAGTTTATGGGATACAGAAAAGGAAAGACTTGTATTACTATCGACGAAAGCTCTTTACTCTGTAAAATATGATTTTATTTCTCTAAAAATACTCGATTTTAATCGGATACCTATATCTTTGTTTGATACAATAGTTACAGGGGAATTAGTTTACCCATCTGCTTCTCTTGCACCGTAAGTAATGTTATGAATTATTTCTGTATAAAAATCATTTATATGGTTAAAATATATATATATATAATTAGTATTATGCAGATGCATAATATTACAATTTTTAAATAATTTGTTCTTTAGTAATCTTCCTTTTATTAAAAATAAGATTAAATTAAAAATTTTATATATATCTGAATATATTCTTTATATAAATAAAATTTACTTCTTTATTGCTTTTGTCTGTTGCATTTTATTCATATCGATTTAATAATCTTCTAGACGATTAAGTGGTTTAGCAGATGGTGTGTCGTCTATAATTCAATGTGCAGTACGTCAAGAATGGTCGTCTATCACAGGTTGCTCTAATCTTACTCAATTTGAACCTAGGTATCGCTTTAGTCTTACTCAATTTAAACCTAGGTATCGCTGCGCTATGTTGTCTGTTAGCACTTATTCTCTACATCAATTTGTTAATTTTCTTTTAACATATATTTGTTTTTACTATTGTACCGCTATTTTCGCTTTTTTGTTTGTAAAATGTATCTGTATTAATAAATACTTGTTTTATAGTGCGCTTTCTGTGTGTTTATGTTACAAGCAATTCTTATAAAGTGTCAAACTATTGATTTTGTACAATGTGTTACAAAATATTGTTAAAATGCTATAAAACTAAATTGGCTGATTTTATCTATATATTAAAATGTCTGCGGAAACAGGATTTTAAATTTTTCAGGAAGCGGCATATGTCAGGAATAAGACTTTTGTGGAATAGAGGGCAGCCTCTGCCTCTTATAAAAAAGTGGAATCCATTTGCAAAAGATATACCGTGGCTCACATATGCTAGTCACCCATTATTCTGGTATAAAGGTAGATGTTAGAACACCAAGATTTTGTAATGATGAAAATCATAAGTAACGCAGTTATATAAAAGATTTTCTTCTATGTATCTAACTATCAAAAGTTAAACCTGTATAATAATGACATGATATTTTTTTAGCTGGAACTGAAATTGTCAAAACAAGATTTGACATAGAAGCCTTTCATACCACATTTAAAAGTTTATTATCGCATGAATGCAATGTTGTTAATATGCCGATCATTATAGAGAATTATTGCAGTCTCGGTGCCTTAGTGCACAATAGGAATGGCTTAGGTTTCTTTAAAATACGTGGTAAAGTCAGTTTTTAATTTCTCCAATCTCATTGTCTCGCAAATTTCAAAATACTTCTCTGAACTTATTATTTTTTCTTATATTTTTGGAAATGAATCTTTTTATATTAGCTTGCGATTTCACACTTATACAATATTTGCTAAAAAAGAAAAAAAATAGCGATTGATACTATCACACACATACATAATATACACAATCACTTTTATGAAAAATTATTTATTAAGATAAAAGTCTCTATATACAGTATTTTTAAAGCTACTTAATAATTTTCATAAGAAATAGCAAAGCTTAAGATCTATTAAACTATCTATTAATAATTTTATCTATTAATCTTTTTAATCTGTTAATAATTTTCACACATTAATTTTTACATACTTTCTCTAACATCACATAAATGATATGTTTATACAAGATATATTTTCTCAGATATGTAAATTATATATATATATATATATTTGCATAATATTTACATATATACACTGTGTGCTAAATCGTTGATATCTTGCATGAAAACGCAAAGGTCTTTGTGTTTTAAGAATTGTGTAACAAAATTTGAGAATATTTTAATATCTAGTACTCCGATTATTGTGCAGAAGAATTGTAAGGCTGTTGTAATCTCTTATCATAGGACATTGTATAATGTACCTATATACATGTATGTATATGATACAGGTCCATATACTTTTGAGTTATATAATAAATAAGAAATCTTGAATCTTTTTTAAATGGTATATATATTTACAGCGACATTTATTAATATAATCAAGTAGGGCAAATATTTTAAAAGATTTTAAGGGCACTTTATCCTGAATCATATAAAGACATTTTCTTTGTCACTTACGATTAGATCAGTATATGCTTTGTTCTGTCATATAGAAAAGTTAGAGAGAGAAACACAGTCGAAAATTTTCCTCTAATCTCAAATCATCAGCTAATTATTTAATAAATTTTAATAAATAAATAAATAATTATTATTTTATTACAGTAATAAATTATAATCACGCTATTTGTTAAGAAGTTGGATTTGTTAGCATTTAAACGTGGGGCAGACTCCCGCCCTTAGGAAAGCGGGAATGGTGGTGGCGGAGGAGATGGACACGGGGTGATCTTGTCCGTCTTCTCTGCTTCCACAGCCGGAAGGGCTGGCGGTGATTAACTGCCGGGGGACTTCAGGCGGTCGTGGATGGGGGTCCAGGTAGAGGAAGGTCGGGGGGGTCTTTCGACCTCCCATGGTGCGCGGCAACACGCACCGCGAGGGCTGTCTTCCGATTCCTCACCCGGATGCACCCGATATTATAGTATATGTCACGTACATTATAATATTGAATGCACCCGGGTGGAGAATCGGAACACAGGAGAGAATGGACAACCGGTAGCGTGCATATAGCATCCCCGGATGTCTACTCAACGCAGATGGTGGCCACCGTGAGGTTTTAGTGGGTAAAAATCCCACATAACCCTCGACTCTTCCCGGGGTCGAGAGTATCTTTTGAAGATTTCCTCACGTAAAAAAAAAAAAAAAAAAAAAAATTTTGAACGCAAATTAAAAATACATACTTAGATAG